TAATTTGTGTTCATTTAGTCTATTAATAATCTGTTGAATATGTTAAAGCAGCAGAAAATCCATCCTGCCAAAGAGAGTAGTCTTGTTTTATCTGTGATCTTGTTGAGTAAGCCAAGATGTTAATGTCATTTGTCTTGACTCAGGTTAAAAATTGTGAGACACCAGACTTAATGGGAACTTGGTATCTCTTTTGGGTATTAATAGGATTAAAGGCGTTCAGTGTGTTATGCATAGCCCTTTGTATCTTAAGAATAAAGGATCCCATACAGTTCCAATATAGTTTCTGTGACTGCCGATGTGCAAATTCATTAGGATGCATTGGGATGGGAGTTCCTCTGAAATCTGACACACAAAAATAAATGGCTAAGGGTTGAGACTTCATGTCAGATTCCTGGTTTGAGAGAAAAGTTTTCTTCTGACTACTTTGACATCTTCACGTCTGCATTCCTATTTGTGTGTTAAGGCTAATAGATATTTTTATTATTCACTTTTACACAGGAACTTTATTATCGTTCCCTTGTTGAAAATCAGTCTTGCACCTCAGTGTTCTGAGTATAACCTGAGAAAGTGTTCTAGTCACTCAAAATTTTCCGTTTTTAGTGTGCGTGTTTTGTTTTTTAAAAATTGAGTTGGGATTGGCTTGTGCCATCTATCTTGACTCTCCTGTCTGTTCATGAACACCACCGTTTTGGACCCACTTGGAATAGGCATATAACCATATCTGGCAGCATCATTCTTTCTGGTGTTGGACTTTGTGAACTTGGCTCTCATGTTTCATCCTGTACGTAAACATAAAAGAATGATGAGCTATATGGAACTTTCAAAGGGCTAATGTCAGAAGGCTCCCCTTTGGAGCCAGTCATGCTTCTGTCTTACCTTCTGTGCATAATTTCCCTGCCTGCACGCTGACTCTCGCACCAAAATAATAAACTTTTTCCTATTAACTTCAGAATCAAATAGGGACAGTTATTTTTGAGTAATGAAGTAACACTTCTGCCCTAGCCTGAAGTTCAGTACTTAATAGGCTTTGCTTTTAATGTAACTTTTTCATGTTCTTTTCAGATGGAGATCTTATAACAATTTTTGATAGCTCAGATCTTTCCTTTGCAATTCAGTGCAGTAGGATACTTAAGCTGACATTGTTTGGTAAGTATAGAAGATTGTTTGTCGTCTTTTTTTTTTAATAATGTTTATTAAAATTCAGACAGTGGGCTTCACTGGAAGGTACTAAAAACTTTCAGTTTGTCACCTCAGAAGAATGAAATCAGTAAGTTAAAAATACTGGATTAGTACATGATATCTATTTTCTCTTGATGTTTCATGTGACATTTGAACTTATGGAAACTGAAACTACTTCTTTTTTATAAGATTGCTTAAAGTATTTGGCATACATATATATGTGGTCAATGATTTTTTCTTGATGTTATTTTCCATGTTACCTTCCACTCCAGCATTTATGGGATTTTTTTCACAGGTGCGTGAGAAATTTAAGATGATTATCTTGCAGTGTTACGAGTACACTGCTAAAAACTAACATTAATTGCTTAAAGTTGAATAGATTTTAACATTTATCCTTTGGCCTTTGTATAAAATAGTTCTTTATTTTCAGGCTACTATTGGTAAATTAGCACATAGTTCCAAGGAATCCCAGGTAGCCTTTAACTTGGACACTGATCTTATTCATGAATTGCAGCAGTGTTGTGTATGCTGCATTAGTTCTAAAGGCGCTTTCTAAAGGGACAGCTTTCCACAACCAAGTATGATATTTGTATTGCTCAGGGTATATTCATGGAAATGAGTAAACGATGCAGAAATTTACCACAGACTTTACTCTGCAGTTCTGGTAGCGTGGATTATACTGAACTGAGATTATATTAAAGGAACAGTAAGCTCTAGAATGAGTTCAGTCTGTGTTAACTAAACTTCGTCACTTTAAACTCCACAGAGGATGATGATGCTACAAGCAAGTAAAAGTTGGGAATTTTTTTTTTTTTTTGCAATTTTAAACTGGATGTCAAAATGTTACTAGTCTTAAATTTATCTAATTGCTGTTTCGCAGTGAATGGACAACCAAGACCCCTAGAATCTAATCAGGTGAAATATCTGCGTCGAGAGCTGATAGAACTTCGCAATAAAGTCAATCGTTTACTGGACTGCTTAGAACCACCAGCTGAACCAGGACTTTCCACTAATCTGCCTGAAAGTGGTAGGCAGCCTGGCAAAGTATTGTTTGGTTTGATTTGCCAAGTTGTGTGTCGTTTAACAAAGTGACAAATGGAGGCTTGAGTACTGGTTGTGATCATTCATAATTGTTGCTTGATGGTCCAGAACTTAGTTTTTAATGCTTCATTTATTTCAGAGGCAGAATTTTTATTCAGATTGTCTGGAGTAAAGCACTAAGTTAACTTAGGAATAAAACTTCAACGTTGAGTTTTTGTTGTAATGTATGAAAGTGCTGTAACTAACACTTGTGAGTCACCGCAACATTTTGAGAGGGCTTTGAGCTGAATTAATAGTTTGTTGTTGCTGAAGAGTTCTTGCTCGCAGCTGAGCACTCCCGCTGCTTACTTTGGGCTAGCTCTGGTGCTTATCTTGTCATGTTGCTAAGCAAGTTTGATCCACTAAAACAGTAAAAAGTGAATTCAGCAAAAACTATATCCACTTTTTTTGCCAGGTTAGGAAATTGAATCCACACATTTTGAGCTCAGACCAGCATCAGAGCTGTCTCAGGGTAAGCAGCACAAGGGTGCAGGTAGGGGTGGGAAAGGATTATCGGGGGAGGGCAAAACAGGGAAGGAAGTTGTCTTCTCCCAGTTTTGAGGCATTGATCTCCTAGCTTAGGGCTGTTGTACTGTAAAAACTATACCTCTGTGTGCTTAATTACAGATTTTGGGTGAGCTGGACACAGAAAATAATGACACAAAGTCATGGAGTACAGTGTTCTGAGTAAAGAGGCGAAACGAGAACTCCAGCCTTTCTTTTAGGAAACGCTGCTTTTGTATTTTACACTTTGAAGTTTTATTGGTTGTATTATTTAAAAAATCCCAGCTCCTGTTCCTACAATATAAGCAATTACTGATTTCAGTGGAATACCGTGGATTCTGGTTGTAAACCATTTGGAAGGAGGTTAGGGTGATGATCTTAGAGTGTAAACAAAACTACCCAGTCTAAACCCTATCTGCACTTGTTTGTTTTTAAGAGAAAATGTAGCACTCCACTAGGTAAGGGGTTTCTGAGTGATTCAGTGTTACTTGTATAATTGCAAAGAGATGAACTTCACCTGTCAGCTTAGGAAGAATTTGGGGAGAAGGGGATAGAACAAAACAAAAACTGTGGTTGATAAAACACTATAATAAACTGGAACCTATTCTGTAAGTTTTCTTAATTTTGAATTCTCTGTAGGCAAGTCATACCAGAACAAGTTGTTTGAAGCAGGAGCTTTGTACCTTTGAATTTAAGACAGTGTGATACGTGATACTGATACTCCACAGCGTCAGTGTATCTTTAAGTAACTGTGCAGTGAAACCTAAGCTTTGTGATTCATCACAGTTTCAGATACATCACCGATTCATCACTGTTATCCTAACATAAGCATTTCAACAGTTAAAACATTTAAAAAAACCTCCACAACTATGCAATTTTAAAGTTGCTGTAGTGCAATATATATGTATGATGGTGTTTCAGTTTGCAAGAATTAATAACTGGGCATTTTGTTTTGTAGATGCTGTAGATGGTAGGGAAGAAAAGCCTGCTGCTGCTGACTCTAATGTTAAGCCATCTACTCAAGTTATAGCAGCAAGCATGTCTGCATTTGATCCGCTAAAGAACCAGGATGAAATCAGCAAGAACGTCATGTCAGCGTTTGGCTTGACAGATGATCAGGTGTCAGGTAAGAATACGTCTTATGAAAAGGAAAGCAAAACCTGTTCATAATCGATGACTCAAATCTTGATTTGTAACAAAGCATTTGCATTTTGGATGTATTAAGCTATGTTCTATATTCACTATTTCTTTTCAGAATTCTAAAACTTGGTATATTAAGGTGTTGTAACTGTGTTTGCTAACTTCTGTATACAAAATGTTGAAAAGTTGCTGTTGGTTTTAGCATTGTGTTTTAGCTTGGAGTAGAAAATGGCTTAGAATTTTTTATTTGAATTATTTAAAGCTATTGTGTAGAGTAACTTAATTGGTATCTGCCAGTGATAGAAAAACAGTATCCACTGCTCTGCCTTAGGCTTTGATCTTGTAGTTCATGTTCTTGGCTTGTGCTTCTGCTGTTTGGGTCAGTCAGAATGTTTTGTACAACCCTGCCTTTCCTCTGTTTCATTTCAAAAGTAAATAGTGTCAACTTTTTTACTGTTAACAGAAAGGAATAACATACTTGTCTGAATTATATTTATTCTTGAAGATCTGCATGACTGTTGGCCCTACCTAGTAGTAGAATGCTAAGCATACAAAACCCGATTATACTAAACTGAATGCAGTCAACTTAAGACGGGATAACTGAAGTTGGAAAAGCAACATAGAACATACTAGCGAGTGTGATGCAGAATATAGAGAAATGATTTTGCACAGAATCTGTGTGGGTCTGGCAAGGTTTCATGTAGCATGGAAACCTGAAAATAAAACTGCTGTTAGCCAACAGGATTTGCTGTGTACTCTCAACTTTAGAGCAAGTAAATTTTATGTGATGTGTGAAGTAATGATACAGATGGGCAAACTAATAGCAACTGGAGCTTGTTTCTACAGTACGGCTGCCTTGGCAAAAGTGTGGAGTGATAGGAATAGATCTGCACTGTGTGACTGCGACTGTGCAGGATCCAAGGTTGTACCTGCAGACAGAGTGGTTGTCTTCAGATTGGGGTACTGGTCCGTGGATCAGGCCTGTTGAGTGATCTCTTCTTCCGTGGCACGTTTTGGGTATTGTCACGGCATCGTTATTTCACAAACCAGATAAAGGTTTGATGGTACTTGAAAACTTAAAATGGGCTACCTCTGAACAGTGAAGTGATAGAGTAGAATGTGAAGTACAACTAGCAGAAAATTGGAGCTAATTTTTGAAGGAGATGGTTTGTCTTTTGGTACAAAGCCTCAGTGTCAGTTAATGCTTTGATCATAGCATCAGTGACACTTCAATGTTTATGCGTCTCCATAATTCTTCTGACAGTGAACTGACTTGACCATGCTTTGAATGTACAGAGGACATTCACAGAGGACGTTTAAGCAGGATATAAGAAATCCCATTTCTAAAGCTATAATCCTGCAGTTACGTGTATAAAGGCAAAACCAGAAGTTGGCAGATTTGATTCATTTTCCCCCTAATAAGGGTAACATGAAAACACAATTAAGGGCTTGTTGGATGCGTATTTATATTGTGTAAATATAACTTTCTTAAAATTGAAAGTGAATTTGCAGCAATTCTAATTCTTGTACTTTAAGCATGTATTTGAAAGTAGTGTCTCATAGGTAGCATTCATGTAACTAATAGCTGGAAAGTTCCAGGTTTAAGCTCCCTTGTTTCTAACAAAATACTTTGCATTTAATTGCATTATATTATAGCCATTCACATGCATATTTCTGAACTTCTCACTAATGTAGAGAAAGTCTGAATTCTCTGTTTCCTTGCTTTCTTTGGGTGCTAGCTGGAATATTTTCAGAATTATCGAAGCCGACAATTGCTTTTAGACTGAAGCCTGCTATATCCTGTCCGGGAGTGTGAGTTTAATACATTCCTTGGAGGTTTTCTGTTCACATGCTGTATGACTGTTGGTAAAACACTTTGTTGCCTGGGCCCATGTGGGCCACAGTAAAACACTAGTGCATTTGAACAGTTTCACACAGCTTTGCACCTTTGCTCCAGATGAGAAAGAATAGGTACGTAGGTGCATATTCTGTCCACACGTAGCAAGTCTTCAGTGTATGTGTGCAAGGTTAGCACCTTAAGCTGTGGAAAAACGATGTTGTCACGCAGGGTTTTATCCCATGGACGGGTCAGGTTCCTTGGAAGGATGAAATTTGAGTGACCTAGAGACAGGTGGAAACACGTCCCGTCCCTGTCCCGTCCATCCGTGTGTCCCGTCCCGTTTCCCCCCCCCCCCCCCAATTTCAAAGGAGAGTTTACATAGGCAAATATATTTAGTTTTAGCTTGGGCGTGACACTCTGAGACTTAAATCTATGGAAAACTGGAAAAAAAATTAAAAACTTTGCAAGGGAATGGTCTTGTATTAGATTTTTTTTTTAATTCAAATTCTCTGTTCATTTCATGTACTGTAATATATTTTTTTTCTCTGCTAGGACCACCCAGTGCCCCTGCAGAAGAGCGATCAGGAACACCAGATAGCATTGCTTCCTCCTCTTCTGCAGCCCATCCCCCTGGTGTTCAGGCACAGCAGCCACCGTACCCCGGAACACAGCCGCAGACTGGTCAGGTGGAAGGTAAGCAGCAGGTTTTTCTTCTATTTAAGACGTGAATGATGGTATCTGAATCTGAGTTATCAGTAGCTATGACTTCCAGTTAGCAGACTCGAAAGTTGATACCAAAGTACAGATTCATCTATGCTGCTAGGCAGGAAAACTTTTTTCCTCACGTGCTGTTCAATACAGAAACAGCAGGTGGAGCAGTAGCTTTATATAAAAGGGTAGGTGATGTAACGTGAGGAGGACTTTCAGGGTACTGTTTGCTACTTGCATCCGTGCTCACTTTGCTGTAAGGCAGACTTACATATGCTGTACTTTAAAAATATATGAAAAACTTAGTTCGTATCATACCCTGTGTGTTGTGTCAAGCAAGCAGTATTAGTAGTTGCTTTCACTCAGCTAATGGTTTGTTGGCTTGTCTACTATGAATTAAAAATGTTGTTTACTCATCATTTCTATCTAATGAAACAGCCATTATTGCATTGCTTCTTTACTATCTACGGCTCTGTGCTAGTCAGGTTAAACCTTGTAACTGTCTCATATGCATTGTAGTTTTCCTCTGTAACTCTTGAGAGCCTCAGCTGGCCCTCCTTTAAAGCTTAAGGTCTTAACTCTGGTATTCAGATTCCTTTGTACTATACCCTTTTACATGTTATTTGACTTCTAAAAATAAACCTATTCAGAGGTTTGCTACATTTGGGCATCATTTTTCTATTGATATTTTCCAAGAGCACTGAGCCTTCATACCTGCATAGTTCTGGATGAAACTGACTGTGGAATGACTTGCTTTGGTATTTCTACCTCCCTACGAAGCACAATATAAAGTTGTTTCTGTGTTGGTGTAGAAACAAGTTTCAACCCTCTGCTGCTTTCTATACTGACATAACGCTAGAGGTAAATGTGAGAGGCATTATTGAGGGTGATGACAGTATCCACAGTCACTTGGAACCTGTTGCCTGAAGGGCATCGGTAACATTTTGATTGAGCAGAGTATTTGAGCAATTTGTAGTTAGGCATAATATTTAAGCAGGCACGAATGCTGTTGGTTACAGAGGAGCTTGTAAAACTCTTGTTTTGCTGCTTTCAGCTTTTTCTTTTTGCTTACTTCTCTAAGAATTAGTCAAGCGGTATAAATGAGACGGCAAGAGACATCTTTGTAGCTTAAAGATATTGTTTGTGTGTGGAAGTTACTTTTGGAAAAAAGTGCTTCAGGTTCTTCTGTCAGCAGCTAGAAAAATTAATATTCAAAAAATACACTCAGCTACTGAACTTGTATTCTATGAATTTAGCCTTTTTACTTAAAGACAATAAGGTATGAGGTTTTAAGTGTTGATGTTAAACTAGAACTGAAACAAAAAAGTGAAACACTTAAGCACTGGCAGCAGTAGGCTGGAATCCTAACTGCTAACGCCAGGGAAGGGAAAAAGTACTTGTTTCAGCAAAACTCATCTTTCTTAGGAAAACAGCTGTCTAGGCTCATGTATCAGAGTAGATGTAATGATTTTTCTAAACTTGGGTCAAGGAAAGTATAGTGGGGTTTGTTTGTTTTTTAAACACTGAACTGTGCTATACCTTTGCCCAAGTCCTTTTTTTTTTTTTTGCATGTAAAATACAGCCAGCACTAATTATGAAGGTTTTGGTCTGTAGTTTATGCAGTTTTTGTCATTACCACTGGAATATGTTAAGTATTGATTCTATTTTCTTCACTCTATGGATACAATAGGGTGGTTCAGTTCTTGGGAAGAGATCAGAAGTCATTCTTGCACCTTGTTCATCAGAAATACTAGTGGGAGCGCTTACGCTGTGCATTGTATGCATATGGTAAATAGCAGTCTCTTACCAAAGCTGGGTAATATATGTGCGATTATCAGCCTCTGAGTTTTCTTCCTAAACTAAGTTGCTTTTATCCAAAGCGTTCAAAGACTTTCCTTGGACACATGGAGTAGCTTTCTGTACTTCACTGTTTTGATTGCACCTCAGTCCAGGGGTAATTTGGGGACCTGTGCTGCCCCATCCCGCCCTTGTGCAGCCGAGATGAGAACCAGCGCAGGGCCATGGCTCAGCCAGAACTTTGGATACGTTTTGATGGTTAGATTTTCAACAGGATTGGCTCATGCAACTGGCACTGCTGGCGCAGAGCATGTTCTTCTTAGAAACTAGTTTTAAAATACTAGTTCACTTTTAAAAAACCAAAACACCCCAAGCTGTGCTTCCCCCCCACCTTCCCAGTATTTTGAGGATAGAAGTAAAATGGTAACTGGGGTAAAAACCTCAGTTTCAAATCTTAGGTTACAAACGTGCACTGATGTACACCAAGTGAATAATTCAGTAGTGCATGATCAGAGTTCACAGCGTAAACACTGACACAGTCACGTGTCAATCATTCTGGTATATCGGGGGATTATTTTTTAATGGCATTCTTTGCCAACAACTGATGTTATGATGATTATAATTGGTTATTAGGTGTTGTTATTTGTGAATACCAAGTCACCTCACCTCCATGTGCCGATACTAATGAATGGCTTGCCTCCCTTGCTGAAGTTTTAAGCATTCACTAGTTGGAATTAAATCAGTACAACAAAGACGTTTCAGTATAGTGCAGTCTCCTGTGGCATGCCTGTGCTTTTGTACCACTAAATCCAGTCGCTGAACACACAGGAGAACCAATTATGTACAGATGTGGAGACTTTCTTAGTCTTTGCTGAAATAGATGTAAAAGTTCATTCAGGTAAGTACTTCATGATCTTCTAGGGAAAAGAATGTTGTGTGAATATACCTATGTGGTCTTTTTTCGGAATCAAGCTAAAATGGCTGTTTCAGTGCACAGGAACAATGGTAAATGCTGGCAGATCCTTGACTGCAATAAGCACTGCTAAGTACAAAACCAGACACTGATGCTGTAGCTCATCTTGTTTTCAGAGTAAAAAGCCAGTGAGGAGGAAAACTCTGTGTGTTTAAGGACCCATAGGATCTCTGACTGCATTCGTGGCTGTAAATTAAGAATGTTTTCTTGAACGGCACTGGAACACCTCTCTGCTCCTCACTAACGCTTCAACCCTGGTGAAGACAGCAAGCCTTCTCAGAAGGCTTTGGAAAAACTCCATGCTGTTTCTTTCATATCCCTTTACCTGAGGCCTCCAGCAGGTGCCAGTGTGGTCTCCCTGTTAGCCTGTGGGTAAAGCTTGCAGCTTCCTGGTTGTTCTCCCAGAACTTCCCTATAACAACAGAGTTCAAGAAACAGAAAACATGCATTCTGAGTTTCTAATCCTTAATTATCAAGCTAACAGGCTTAAATTCTCTTCAAGCTTTGTGTTTAGCACTCTTCATCCCACAATAATTGCATACCAAGTAATATTTTGAACGACTGCACCGATGTAAAATATTTTCAGCGCCTTAGTGTGTAAAATACCGTTGCTTTCAGCTGCAGGTAACACAGAGAAAAGACGAAATAAGGAGTTCTTTTAAAGCAGTGTGCACAGAGGTCGGGGAGGACTTGGAGCAGAGCCGAGTTGCTTTTCTCTTGGTGCAGTTCAGAAGATACAGATTCCAGTATATTTATACAGTCTGCTGATCTTTGCAGAATGAATAATAGTAGAGTAACACTTTATAATAGTAAAGTTTCCATGTCTGCTCCAGTTCAGCTAAGCTTTAGTTTTGGCAAATAATTGTTCTTGTTCTTTGACTGTGCCTGTTACTAAACTGAAAAACAGCAGAAGCATAAGGCCTAAACAGAGCCCATAGGTTAAGTCTAAACAAATATTCTGCCTCTTCTTGCCAAGAAATTGGAAGCAGTGAATTTAGGAAAAATCAGCATTGAATTAGAATACCCAAGCTTAAAAATGTACGGTTTTATTTTTGCTTTAGGGTGTATACATACCCCTGGGTCTCTTAAGAAAACTTGGCTTACAGCAAGTAATATATATATATTTTATATGTATAATATACATTTTTATATATATAACCTAATATAAACAGACAATCTGAGGACATGTTTCACTTTTGAAGTACTTTAATTTACAGTGTAAGTTCTGGAGCAGTTACCAAGACGTTTAAAGATTCCTGCTCTGTTACCCACCAGAGTAGCACTAATTAAGGTGCATGGCTAATGTGAAATAGTAAGCCTCCCGTGCCAAATTAGAACTATGTATTCTGTTGGAGAGAGATAAACATCATTTAGTCTTCAGAACGGCATGGTTCAGAAGCTAAAACCTGTAGACTGGTTTCGGTTGGTAGTGAGGTGGAACACGTACTCAAACTTCCGTGTTCAGACTTTCTTAAAAAAGTTTTTACATGTTGTGAGAGGGTTTGTTGCTGCGATTTTGAACTGTTTGTTAGGACGTTGTTCACTGTGTGTTTATAATATAGCTAGGGTACTGGGCTTCAACTAAATACCTTTCTGATCCCTAGGTCAGATGTACCAACAGTACCAACAGCCTGGTTATCCTGCTCAGCAGCCGCAGGCTCAGCCTCAGCAACAGTACGGTATGCAGTACCCAGGTAAGCAGCTCTCTCAAATGGCGGTTTCGTTGTTGAACCTCTCCTTCGGTGCCCGACCCTGTGAGCTTCGGTTCCTGAACCTGTGGGGCAGGCCAGGGTGCTGAGCAGCCTGAGTGCCTGTGCTTCTGATGGGAACTGTCACAATTCAAAAATTACCAGGAAGAGAACACTGTAGCTGTCTATATTTTTAGTATGTAGTTGGAGTTCTGGTATCTCAATCCTACTTGATTGTGACCAAAAGCAGACTACCGTTATTAATCAGCAGAATGCATTGTTAGAAAGGGAGGCAAAGTGAATCACCCCGAAGCATGAGCAGTCGTCAGGATTAACTTCTGCAGTCTTGGGATTCTAGCAAGTAAGTGACTGAAACATCCCAATTTAGCTTCCTTAAATATCGGAGGTATATAAAGATGGCCCCTGTTTCTTGCGTCTAGAATGATCTCCGTGAACAAAATTTAGTGGTGTGAACAGTGATTATAGTTGTCATTTGGTAAATCCTTAGCTATTGTAAATACTGTAATTTCAGATAAACTTTCAAGAGATAGGTTTTTTTTTTTAGTTGTTCATTTTGCTGATAAGTAAAGGTGCCAGGAGACTTTTAGCAGAAGAATGGTTTAAGTCAAATATGAAGAGCTGGCTTTTGCGTATACCCAAAATAAACTTGACTTTGGAACTTTTGAGTTATTTACTTTAGAAGCAGCTGGCATCTAATAATGCATAGTATGTGCTAGGAATCATAATCCAGCTAAAGTACAGGGATGAGACTGTAACAGCAGATTCCATAACAAATTGCAAGTTGCTTAATACTTTCAGAAAATGATACAAAGCATTTATCACTCCTTGTTTCAAACAATCTTCCTTAAACTAAACAAAAGACTCCCATACCATTAAGTCACTCAGAATGGAGCCCGTATGGCCTTTATTTTGGTGTGCAATATACAGTGGGAGTGCATCAATTTTGATGTAGATGAGAACACTTGCAGAGCTTATGAAGAAATTCCATGTTTATCTTGGACAAGAACCCTAGAAAACTTGGAACTGAAGGTTTGTGCCTCAGCCCTTGTTCCTGTGCACTGTGCGAGAGCTGGTTGATTTGGGTCTCTAAATGGTATCTTGTTCTCTGCAGATTTCTCACCCCCACATTTGTAATTAGAAGACAGTGACAGACTTTCTGAAGTCTAATTTCAGAAGAAGTAACGAGCCTGTTGGAAGTAGAAGGGTCTATCTGACTTTCTTTAGGCTTAAAAACTGAGTGGGGGAAAAAAAAGGAGCTTCCATCTGCTTTCTAGTCATATCCTACCATCATCTAATCCATTATTTTACTGGAGAAGTTCCTGTGAAAGCTGTAGTGCAATGCGAGTTCTGCATTCTAATCAACACCATCTTCCAAGTAAGAATGAAACACCACCAGAACTGCTCTGGGGCTCCTCTGTTTCTCATAACTTCCTTCACGATTAACCTCATCTTTCAGAAACAGCCTTTTTTTTTTTTTTTTTGAGGACCTAGTGACAGCAGCCTTTGAAGATCTTGACTCATGGGATTTGTTTGTTTGTTTTGCTGCTGTTCCCATGAGCATTGTCTCCTTTCAACCCCCTGTCCCCCAAGAGCAGGATCCATTCCCACTCTTGTAGATCTACTAGGCAACAATGTGGCTATTTACTCATGGTAGTAAAAATGGACCCTTCAGAGGTTTGTCTGATGAGTAAATTCTGATCCCAGTTTCAAGGTGAGTTTACTCCAGTGCATTCTTCAACCCTTACTCTTTCCGTTTAGGGCTGTGCACTTTTAATAATTTGTGTGTCTGGTGTTTAATGCTGACAGGATTCCAGTCACTGGAGAGGTTTCATTGCAAGTAGCTGCAGGTGTGTTTCATGATGGATAAAAGTAGCTATTTCTTCATTAAAATGACACAGAGTCCTTTTAAGTTTTCAATAAGAGAAATTCCTTTTGGAAGCTGGCTTTATACAGAAAAATCAAGTTTGGGACATGTTTAAATGGAAGTTTTGTACTAAAGTATTCTGTTCTGCACAACTTTTTCATATCTAAAGAACTGAAAAGACCTATGATTTAACCAAAGGTATGACTGACATTAGACCCTGACAATATTTTTGTGACTGTTTAGTTTTTGAGTTTTTATCTGGGGAAAAAGGTTGCATTTTGCCTCATTTGCCAACAAAGACTTAGTATTTTTCATGTGACACCATGGTAGTAAAACACTATTTGTCATTTTTTTTAATTTCTCCTCAGTCACGGGAAAACAATGTTATACTAACTGTTTTCAGTGTTGCTGTGCTGCCATGGTAGTGCACCAAAACCCCGGCAGCGTGCTTATGCGAAAGGCAGGAAAACTCGCGTTCGTTCTTGGTTTGCCTTTTCTGTGCTTACTGCCTTGTTCTGTGTTTGTCGCTGTAAAAGAAAGGAAGGTGTTTCTGCAGGTGCCCGTGGTTCTTTGCTCTCTCTCACCCCACCTTGCTCTTTGCCTTTCCAGCAGGCTACAGTCAGCAGCAAACCCCCTCGCAGCAAGCCCAGCAGTTCCCGGCCTACAGCCAGCCGGCGGCCCCGGCCCCGGCCGCCG